GGCCCGGACTAAAGACAGCATCGTACGGACTGTTGCCGCGAGGGCGATAGAAGTAGTTAAAAACACGGCGAATATTCTCCTACATAAGTTAATACTAGCCGTATAAGAAGTTAGAAAAGTATTACGTATAGGGGTAACCGTATAAACACGGCGTAGCTTATCTGCGACGCGCTAATCAAAGATAAACTAGATATAATACTTATTTAGGTTAACAGCGCCTAGCATATTAAAAGTTAGCAGTACAGCGCCTAGCGTCGTACGAGTTAGAGCCTAGTAGGCAGCGTCGAAGATTTAGTTAGCTACGTTGTTAATAGTATTATTAGGGCTACTGTTAGTGCAAAACTATAAACTGTTAGTGTTTGCGTTAGCCTAAACACCGCGAGGGGGTGGTTGCGCTTTCGGCGGCATCGTACGAGTGTAGTTAGAAAGAAAAGAAGAAATCTATATAGTAGTAGAGTTAAATTGATTTAATATAAAGAAAGAAAAAGCTAAAGGAGAGAGACGGCAGCTCTATATATTGTATGGAGGGAGCGTTTGCTCTCGTGGAAATCCTCCTTCACTAGAGTAAATAAACGCCGCTGCTCTACTGTAAGTTAGGCAGCCGCGTGCTCCTAGGAAAATAAATAAACGCAAACATGTCCATATAAGTAGAGGAGAGAAGTATTATAAAAGGCTGCGCCCGTAATCTCTACTAAAGAGGATTACGTAATCTTCGACTACGTAATATACCTTCTATACAGATACGTAATTAGAAGCGAGCAGGTATAAGAGAAGTCTGTACTTAGTTATCTTCTCTTTTTCTTATCTTTTAGCTTCTATACGATAGGTAGAAGCATACTCATTCGCTAGGCCTCTCCGCCCATAACAGAACTTCTTTAACAGTAATTACGGACTAAAGACTAAGGATCTATTACTTAAGAACGTTAAGCTAGTTAATTTATTTCTATATTAATATTATATTAGAAGAACATCTTAATATAGTAGGAGTATAGTATTACTATCTAGATAGCACTCTAAGATATAGATTACTAAAGAATAACGTATTTATAGCTACGCTAATTAAGTATTATAATCTAACTTTTATTAAATATAATAAGATTAATACTTACTCATCTATATTAATAACTATAAATGATATTAAAAGATTAGTCTAACGAAGTCTAAGAATAGACGAAGAGGAGCTATAGCACTAAAGGTTAGATTACCTAGGTTAGCGCGTACTTCGCGTATTAGCTTATACTACTCAGAATATTAAGATTATTAGTATAAAGAGGATTAAATGCGAGAACTATATAAGGGCGTATACTATATAGGTAATCTTAAGGCAACCGCGTAAGAGATTATCTTAACTATTCTTCTATATATTATAGAATCTATTTAATATACCTACTAGAAGAATATACAAAGAATAAGTAATAATTATAAAAAAAGACTTCTTAGGTAAGCTGTATAATAATAATATATCGTTAAAGATAGTAAGTAAAATTATAAGAGTAATTAAGAAGTTTATTATAACTATTAAATAGAAATATAGTATTAAGAATATTAAGATCTACTAAGATAATAACACTGCGATACTTCCTTAGAGAGGGAAAGTAAGATATTAAGAATAGGCGGAGAAAAAGGGTATTATAATTAAAAGTCTACCGCTATATACTTATAAGCTAAATAAGTTAGTAGAGAGAGTAGACTAGAAGCTAATTACGAAAGTAATTAAGATACGTACTAGCGTAAACCTCTCTAAAAAGTTATAGCCTAAAGTAATAGATACCGTAGCGTATCTCTATAGTATAAGCCTAACAGAAATCTACTCCTTTAGATTACTTAATAAAGTACTAGACCTATAGTTTAGAAAAAGCTTATAGAAGTATAGTACATTATAAATTTAATCTATAACAGCTAACCTCTACCTAGACTAGAGTAGAATTTTTGCCTATAGCTGTCGCGTATACCTACTAGATTAGAAGCGCATAGTAGGGCGAGATAAGAGAGAGTTTAAAGTTAATCTAAGAGCCTATATTAGATACTTAGTTAGATATATTATATCTAATATATACTAAGTATAGGTACTAACACTTAATTAGGTAATTATAACGCGTAATATAACCTTTAATAAGAGACTATTTTATAAGAGTAAGAAAGATTAAGAAATATCTAAAGATAAAGTAGTAAGAATTATTAATATGTTATACAATAGCGAGTTAAAGGATCCTAGGCTAGAGATAGATATCTTACTACTAATTAAGGAAAGAGGAATAGTAGGAGAAGAACTAATTACTAACGAAGAAATTAGTAATAAGCTAGTAGATAATTATAAAATAGGAACTAGCTAGTCTAGTAGTTATAATTGTATATTAGCAGAATCCGTGCGGAGTGTGAGTGTAGCTGGTAAGTACTTAGGAATTCGCGCGGATTAGAAATTAACTTCTATACTTTCTACTCTAGAGTAAACCTTAGTACTAAGAATATAAAGAGGAAGAGGCCTTAATAACTATAGAGAAGTATACTTATCTAAGAGAGCTAGATGATTATAGTCTGCGGTACGTTCTTAATAAGGGCGACTGCTAAGAGGTTAAGGGTAGAAGTACTCTTCTTAGCTAGACAATCGCGCTAGTCGCGTAAACTCTAACGCGCTAGGCGAGTCTAATAGAAGAAACCTATCTACGCAATAGAGTTAAAGGATTAAGTAAGAAGCGCTAGAGATTAATAGACTTCTAAATAAATATCTACTAATATAGCGTAAGCGTAAAAACCGCGATCTTAATAATTAACTAAAGAGTAGGATATCTAGAGGTGTATATATATTAATCGCTAGACTAAAGAGATTAGAAGATATATAGAATAATTTCTATTATACCTTTATTCTAAGAGTAGTACGAGAATAGAATAAGTAGTAGTACTATAAGATACTAAACGTAGTAGTTATAGTAGCAGCGCTTAAGAAAGCGATACTATAAGTATTAAAGAATCGTCTGTATAGAGATAATCTTACTAACCCTTTAAATACGTGAAAGTAGATAATACTATATCTATTTAAAACTTTATTCTATAAAGTAGCATAAAAAGAGGTTAAGACTCTACGTAATAAAGGGACCTAAACTAAGATTAATAGACTAAAAGTAGTAGATTAGGCTTATTACTTACTTCCGCTGAAGTAGGTATAGACCTATAAGTTTAATTAAAATAGGTATTTCTTAAAATATAAGGTAAGAATTATTATAAGAGATAATCTCTAGAAGAAAGGCTCACTTAAATGAACTTATGTAGCGATATTAGCTATAAGGTCTTTTCGTATAGTAATAGCCGTAGTAGTAAAGTTTAATCTAGAGATTAGATAATATAATATTATAGGAGTATTTCTAAATATAAAGATTATAGTAGTAAATTTAGTAATCTATAAGATGCTAAATAGATTTAAGAAGAAGAGAATATGCGTCTAACTTAATCGCGTATTATATAGGCTAAGAGACTCTCTACTTCTCTAGTATAAAGAACTTATAAGATTACTATAAGAATTAGAGCTATAAGCCTCGAAGAAGGAGTTATATCTCTTCTTTAATTAGGACTAAAAGGTATAGGTGTTGTTCTATATTAATAATACTCTTATTTTATATTATAAAGATAATAAGTAAAGAGCTATACGGATGTAGAATTATATTATATTAAAGTATAAGATGTAGGATTAAGAGCTAGTAGAGTAGTTCTTAGGGGTGCGCGTAATAAGAAACCGCATTAATTAAAGGATTATACTAGTCTATAACGTATATATTAATAAGATTACGAAGAAGTTTAGTCTAAATAGTTAAGCGTTTCTACTAACTCTACTACTATTAGAGGAGCTAGTTAAGAATAAAGGCGAGGCGACGAAGTAATAGATTAAGGTATATTAAGAAAGGGTTAGATTAGTATTATATACTACGATTATACTTAGGCTGAACATCGCGTTCGCTATATTAAAGTTATCGCACTTCTTAACTAACCTAAGTAATTAGTATATAAAAGTAGTTAAGTAGGTGTTAGAATATAATAGTTCTTAAAGATAGAAATAAAACTATAATAAATAGCTGTAATAATTGTGAATAGATTAAATTAATTCTAATTAATTATTAATCTTCTTATCTCGTTAGAGGCGCGCCTGCGCGCCTCTTTTTAGAGACGTCTAGTTATTGCTTTTTATATAAGGTAGAGCCTCTAGTTTCAGCCTTAGCTAGGTTATAGCCTTAGCGAAGGTCGCTCTTATTAGCTGTATATAAGAACTCTAGATACTATGGCTTAATCTGCAGCGTATACTATTATAGGTAATCTAGATAGCAGCGGATCGTATATAATTACTACTTAAAGAATCTATGTGTACTTAAGCACCTAGATTCTATTAACTATCCAAACTATACCTATATTCTAACACACCCTCTTAGCTCAAAAGGCTTAAGCTAGATTAGACGCAGCTTAGCTACTCTAATTAATCCTAGATCTCTACAACAGGTAACTAATTATATAGCTCTTAATCTCTAACTTTAACTAGCCCTAGTTAGATTAGGAAGCCCGTCCACTAGTTTACTAGGAGTACTTTAGTAAGGCTATTAGCTATTATCTTAGAGAATTTTGTGTATACTACTTTAATTCTCTGGTTAGTTACTTCCTATTAGAGCTAATGGTTGTAGATATCCACGTATTAGAGTTTTATAGTTAGCCTTAATACTAATTAAGTTATAAGACGGATTGTATCACGGCGCTAGCTAAGTGGCCGGCGCGCGATCGTCTGATTAGCTGCCGACAGAATCCGGGTAAGGGTCCAAGCACCCGGATTCTGCAAAACCGCCGCAACTTCACTAGTGTAGCTCTTCAAGCTACGTCCTGTCTTCTACTCTATACTACCTGTAGTGAGAGCCTGTTGATTAGCTGTAGCAATAGAACCTGTACACGCGCCTGTCCTCTCTGCCCGTAAGCCCGTACCGTGACATTACGTAGCTCCTCCCCACAGGCCCATGTATTTCACCGCTATGAACCGCCCCAAGCCCCCCTCCTTCCCAGAGACGCCTGACGAACTCACTACTAGTGTAGCAGCGCATCCAGGGGAATAGCTAATATACTTACGCAACACTGCCCAGTATACCCAAAAACTCGAGGAAAACCACGCCGCGTCCCAGGACCAGGAGCAGTCTCTGCGGATCCAGGTCAAGGAGAGAGAAGCTGTCATTCAGTACCAGAAGGAGCAGCTAGCAGCCGACCAGAAGCAGATTACTAAACTCGAGATTAAAAAGACCCAGCTTACTACAGCTACTACACCTGCGGTACTAACACCCCCGGCCGTCACTACGTTTCCCTCTAACCCCGTTGGCGTTGCTAAAGCCTCCGCAGACGACCTAACGGGACCGCCTGCGCCTATTACTCCCCTAAGTTCCCGAACTCCTAGCCTTAGTGAGAGAATACCTAACCCAAAGGAATTTAATAGAACTTAAAGCGACCTACACCAGTTTATCTAATAGATCTACGGCAAGATAAGCGCGAACGCCGACCGATTCCCGCAGACCACTAGGCGCATACTTTACGTAGCAGGACGACTTACGGGTAAAGCGTACGCGCTAATGCTACCGAAGATCTAATACGGAATTCCCC